GTCTCACTCACCTCCAGTAGCCAGTAAATCATCAACGATCAGGACCTTCTGTCCTGCAGAAACAGCATCTTCCTGCATCTCCGCCTCGGCCTGAAACGATACTGCTGAATTACATAATGAACAGAGGCTTGCATTATAACTGCACATAGACTAGATGCAATACTGGATCATTTATAAACCAGAGTTACCTTTGCATACTCAAGACTATAAGCTACTGATAACGTGGGACCAGGGAGCTTCCCTTTTTTTCTGATTGGAGCAAATCCTACACCTAATCTCTGAGCCAAAAGCGGCCCAAACAGAAATCCTCGAGCGTCAAGTCCTAGGAGAGAATGAAGAAAACATCATTATAACAATACACCGCTGCTTGCCATGCCTTTCTATTAAAACAATTCTGGGACAAAACTGGAAATCTTCATGAAGGACTCCAACAGTTTATTAAAACCAAAGGTAGACTGACTTAAACATGAATGGATTTAAAAACAAAAGTTTGTCAAAATAACTTTGATATTGGCTTGAGAAAGCCTGACCAGAAAGTTTGAAGTCGTTTTAGAAGCTTGCCATTTGAAGGTAGTGATTACTACGCAGGTGCTTGGGCATTCTGGGTGGTTTATAGAGTGTTGCTACACAGGGTGTTCTGGGTGGTGGTTAGGCGGTTGCTAGTGTGTTCTGGGTAGTTGCCAGATGGTTGCTAGGGTGTTGCTGTGCAGTTTTTAAAGTGGTCTTTGTGGTTGCTAGGGTTTTCTATGCAGTCCCTTAAGTGTTCTAGGTGATCACTTGCTGATTCATAGGGTGTTTAGATGCTGATTCACTTTATGGTTGCTCGAGTGTTTCTTAGCTGGGTGACTGCTAGGGTGTTGCTATGCATTTGCTAGGATGTTTTGGGTGGTTGCTAGGGTGTTGCTGTGCAGTTTCTAAGGTGTTCTGTGTGGTTGCTAGCCTGTTCCTAGAGTGTTCTGAATGGTTGTTAGAGTGTTGCTAGGATGTTTAGACTTTTAATTAGTCTATGCAGTTGCACAATAATTCCCAAATAGGGCCATTATGGTCACCAATAGGATAAAAATACCCTGTATGACAACACAAGAAATTAAAACAAATATTTCAGTTATGTCCTCTACTCTAGGTCCTGTGACTTCCTATAACGGTTCTGTAATTTCAATTGAACAACATACATTCCATGTATATTTCGAATATACATTACACAATATCACACTGACTATCCAACAGGAGTCCTGTTACAGGACTCTTAACAAAATCCTGGAAGAATCCCATTTCATTTAATCGGTTATCCTTATTTGACCCTATTAGGATCGGATCCTATAGGAATCCTTCTCTTTTTTTTCCTGGCACAAGTGTTATCAGGAGTTTTGCAACTTTGAACCTTGTAATGTGCCACACTCATACCTACTGAATGAAATCTGCACTCGCTCTTACCGACTATAAGATCCACCTGAGGATACGCGCGCCTTGCGTGCTCCTCAAAGAGATCGGTCACAGCAGCCAGAGCCTTCGGATCCTTCAAGACTGGAAAAATATCCCTGCAGACGAACAGCACAGACAATCTGAAACTGCCAAACCCGAACATCTCTGTCCCGTTCTTCCGCACCGCTTTTAACATGCACGCTCATAGTAAAATGGCATTGTAAATGAATAACGGTACTCACTTGAACGGAATCCCCTTCGTAGGAAAATCAGGGAAAGTTCTAATGCACTTGGAAATAAGATCCAGTTTCCCTGCCATGGCACGCGCTGCGAATGTTTGGACTGAGACAGGAAGATGTCCACGTGCTCAAGTCAACCACTAGCACACGCTTCCTCATCACATGACATTTACGTCATCGAATGTGGAAGAGAACTGCTTTTAATAAGGGTATTTGTTATTATTATTATTATTGCCACACACATATAACATATAATAATGTAAATCACTTAAAATAATTCTACACGTAGTATATAAATACAGCCAAAGGATCATTCCATCGGTAATAAAGGAGGGGAGAACGGAACCAAAGGACAAAATCCCAGTGGATTGCAGCTGTAGTGAAGGAAACAAACAGATATATTCTACACAGCATAACAAGCAAAGTGTCTCCTCATTACTTTGCTTAAAACATATATATATATATATATATATATATATATATATATATATATATTATGCACAGTCACATGCAAGTTTTAAAAATATTTTATTGCCCCTTAAGAAAAAAATGCAAGATTTTTTAAGACACTGATTTAAATGCCAAAAGTCAAAAAATAAAAATAAAATAAACAGTATAAATGATTGTTAGACAAAACTAGCTAACATCAATATATTTATTGCTGACAGTGTGCTTTGGTAATTGTACAGTAAGTGAGGTCCAGTGAGTACCAGGCAGCTGTCAGAATATGTTTTTATGATCAAATATATTCTTAAATGACAGTGCATATGTTCTGCTCTGCTGCCTTTTGGTACATTTTGCAGTTTTTCCCCCAACAAATTAATAGACACAACATATTCTAAAATGAGAACTACACTAAATCACTGCTTTTCAAAATCAAAATCTGGTTTTGTACATTACATTAAACACACCAAATGCTGAGAGTCACGCAGAAAATACAAATATCATTTTAAAAATCCTTAAAAATAAATCAGATTTTGAGAGACGTCTTTATCAAAGTTCTTATGGATAACTTACTAAATAATGTGGCCAGTCACATTTCCATGGATTTGGCTCTGGGGGTTTAAGACATTTGCCCAACTGCTCACAGCCAGGAGGACTCTAGTTCTGAGTAGGAAGAGAAACACATGAATATAAAGGAAGTTCTAGGTTCAGACAATGCCTCTATTGACAGTGGCATGAAATTTACAATAGCTTTTTGCCATACATGAACACTGGAGGACGCTGTTGCCCCACTAGCTGTTAAAAGATGCTTATTGTCTATTGTGAAACTAAACCATCTTCCAGAGCAATAATGGCACAAAATAAAGTGCCATTTTTGCAGTGACATAAAAATCTACAAAGGCTGTTAATGACCAAAAAACGAAGTAAATAAAATACTTAAAGAAATTTTTTTAGCTAATAATAATTTTCAAATATGTTTTTGTATACTGATTTATAAAACATAAAAAAAATAAAATGTTTCAATTAATCATTTAAAACTAAAAGTGATGAAAACAACTGTAAAGCTGTGCAAAAATAATTTGTTTTATGTGCAAAAATGTATAATTACCTAGCAGTATAATACTCAAACATCACCAAAAAAATAAACAAATTACAAAAAATACAAACTGGTTTGGGTCTATTGTGACATTTGATTTGATTTAAGAAATTTTCTAATTTTTCTAAATTTTCTCAGTTTTGAAATCAAAAGATGCCTTTAAAAAAATAATAATTTCAAGAGTTAATTTCATTTAATTTCATTGACCAATGGAAAATTAAGGTTAAATCAGATCTGCTGAAACAGACGCCTAAGCCATCTCAACTCACAGTATCTTGTATCAATCAATCAATAATCATCTCACCATGACAGCCAGGTCACACATGTTGAGCTGCGGCATTCCAGGGATCAAATCCGTCTGATGCTGCTCCACTACTGCGGTTACCTGTCTAAGAACATCCCGGTACTCCTTAGACTCGACACTTTAAGGCAAATGAGAAAGGGAGAGATCAGGAAAGAGATATGTACTTAAAACATATATGTCTGATAGATATGAGAGATATTTACTTTTCTTTTCACAATGGTTAGTTATTTACAAGATGCTTCATTTTATTAATGCTAAATGTAGAAGATATATTTAAAATTTCTTTATTTTGATTCTGGGGTGAAACCAACCCTGACAATGTTCTTGACAGGTTTTGTGAGACCATATACTTGTACCATGATGTTTACATGTTACTCCAAAAATACCATAGTACTATAACACTATACTAACAACTATCCCCAAAAAAAAAAAAAAAAAACAGGGTTAAAAACATTTTACAGTTAATTTACAGCCAATTACTCTCCTACTTCAATACAATAGCTGATATTTGCTCTCGGGTAACTTTTTACATCAACTGCATCATTGTCTTCATCAATTAATCTTCACAGCCTCATCTTAGCATGGCATATAAAATAGTTTTAATTAATTATTCGCTCATGCATGGTTATTACAAGATAATGCATGAAAAAATATGTGACAGACAGGCAATCCCACCATAAAACACACACACGCACGCTCAGGTCCCCGAGGGCTGCCGTTTCCACAGAAGCGGTCATGTGTCCTCTCATTATTTGTGTTGGACAGCATCCCACACCCCTGCGTAGTGTGCAGGGACCCTGATGGTTTCAAACGAACGCTGTTCTCAATAGGACCTGTAGGCTTAATGGGCTTCAGAGAATGTGTGTCTGTGCGAGAAACACACAGAGACAAATATCACCACTGCAATTACGGCCGTAATACAAAGGCAGGCAGCACCTGTGTCAGGCCTGTCCCTTGCGCTCAAAGGCAGCCTTCTGATTGGCCCCTGGGGAAGAGGTGTGTACATGTGGGGTGAGGTGTCAATTAGTGTAATTACCCTGGGCGCTGTCCGACTCACACCTCCAGTCTCTACACTTCTGCCTTCCCCCGGGAGAATCGGGCATGAGCCGCACGCTAACATCTGCTCCCCTCTCACTCAGCCTGGACCAACAGTCTTCACCCCGAACGACCATTCCCCAAAACCCTGACACACATTACTTCACTTGCTACAGGCTTTTCATCAGCAGTTAAGAGGTTTCGTCTAGTGGTTGACCAATATCAATGACTTATTGGAATATAACTGCAATAGAGTGCTGCAGGGATGCAGAACCCGAAATCGAAGTATAGGATGTAAGTACTTTCAGTTCCATTGTCTGGAAATCAATGGTTTTTTGGTTAAAAATAAAGTGAAAATAAGGACTGTGGTTAATAACACAATCTCAAGATATTGTCACGTTTTGTTCTACGACATTGTCTCAAAAAAGGTCATTAAGAAGTGGCTAAATGGGACTACAGGGACTGTTGGGGACATTAAAAATCATCACAATGAACAGGTAAACATATCTAATCACTAGTCTGCTTTCACAGACTCATTGTATTATTTGTGCAAACTATTCTAAATCAAGCTTTCAAAAAATTGTTTTTTTAAAGTCTGAAAGAGTTGTCTAAGCTTGATAGCACTGTGTTTAATTTTTGACAGGAATAAAAATTAGTCTGTGGAGGATAGAAGCACAGTGCGGTCAATAGATTGTATTGTTGTTTAACAATATACCGATTGTTCAACTAACAAAACATCTTCCCGAAAAAATTACTAAATAAATAAACTCCATAAAACAGTTTGAAAGTTGATAGTTCTAACCTTTGTACAGTGCATGCCATTGTCAAGACTGTAAGTATGTCCCTTCACAACTTCGTTTTCATTTACATTTAGTTCAGTATGGCATCTAACCTGCCTAAAGGTCTATGGTGGTGACTCATGCGACTGAAGACTGAAGGCTATTGTATTTAGGATCCAAAAAGTTTATTTATTAAAAAAAAAAATCCTGATGAACAACATGTAACTTTCATAAACTTTGGTTTGGTCATCCAAAAGCCAATGGAAACATCCTGTTGGGTTCTTGTCAAAAGAATCAGGGCAATGCTAAATTCTGAGCTGGTCTACAAAAATGTGTCACTCTGCAACATTCTCTTAAAACTGGAGGACTGCCAATTTCACATCATTTCAAGTTTGGAATTTAAATAACTGCATACTTATAATTTAAACTGATAAAAAAAAATTCTAATAGTATCAGTTTGTTTTGGTGGGCCTTATAATATATTACACATTATAACCATGAATTTCAAATCACATTCGTTCGAGGGGTTCTGCACCAGGGATTGGCTGCTTAAACTTTATGTAACTTTACATAATTTAAGCCTTAACCTAGTTGTAGTGTAATTGAGCATTAAGTTACAACTTATGCATTTCTAAATATTTGACTGTTGTACCTTTAAAATAAGATCAAACATAATGCTACATCAACCAGGGTGCGAACTACGGGGGAGCTCGGCTCCAAAAAATATAAACGCTGGACTCTGTGGTCGATTCTGTGTTAAGGTAAGGCATGCTATTCACAATTATGTGTTGTGGCTGGGTTGTTATAGGTCTGCGTGACTCTCGATGTCTTAGGCCTAACTGAACGGAGGAATTATGGTATTCTTCTGTAGCCTGACGACAAGTAACTTTAACCGTTTTTTATGTGAACTCAAAGACAGCCGGATGCTTTGTTTCTAGACTATGTGTGGGTGGCTGTTTGTTGTTTCACCTATCAATTCGTGTCGATAAAGTATAATAGGGTAAATCCTGTATAGTGATTTATCCTATATAGCGCTTGCATAAAGCAAGTAGTGCATACACTTGTAGCTGTTATGTATCTTTGTAAGTCATTGTAAGCCCTCTTTTGAGGCACGTGCACGAATACCAAACCCCCCTCCCTTATAATAATAATAAAAAAAAGTGGAAGTGGGCTCCCCCAAAGTCCACGGTATAGTTCGAACACCGACATCAACCAAATATTTACACCAGCCACCAACCAGGAATTATGGCTGAAACAAACTAGCAGACCTATTGGATTACATAACTGAGCTTATGTTTTACCTGACACACTTCAATTATTTAGACATAAATTATGATGCTGACATTTACACTCATTTACTCATTTATTATCTCTATGACTAAATGACTCGGCAGCTCTCAAGCATGAAACGGATCTATGCACATTCCCATTTGTGGGACCCTACGTCACTTG